AGTCCTCAACTCTCAAGTCCTCCATCGGTAGAGATGTGTTAGGGTTATGAACTGGTGGAGTGTTAGCACCTTCTTGGTCAGTAACATGGGCCGCACCTTGAGTGTCTTGGAGGCTAGCCCTATTCAAAGTGACACCACCTCCCCCTGATGTAACTATTCCATCTATCACCTAATGCCAAATATGATCTCCAAGTCCTTGAAGTATAAAGGCAAAGACTGGCCATTGTACCTTTTTGTAAAACTATTCTCCTATAAATATAATACATGTATGTATTGAATTTGTGGCAATATTGCACTGAAACTTGCACAACCACATAGAAATAAACAACAAAGGTGTTTCAACTCACCGCTAAATACTGAGCCCATAGGGCTGGTTCAGTAGTCACCATATTTCTAGCATGATCAATTCCAAAACCTGATTGTCCCAAAAAAACAAATTCACTTCCATGTACTGTGTCCTTAATAACTTGTACTTACTCTTTAATCAATCCAAGTCATACAAGTTTCCATATTGGCCTTTCCTGAACTTGGATCATCTGATTCTATGCGTCTTTCTTTAGCGCCTCGCCTCCCCCTTCCCCTTTTTTGACCTCTTTCAACAAGAGATCAATGAATTGGGTCTCCTTTGCAAAGTTCCATTGGGCAAATTGTCTAGCTTCACGTTTTTTGCTTTGCTCCCCATGATAGTATTTGTACTTGCCATTGACGAGTGGTTATCCATTCCTTCAAAGATAAAGAATGCAATTATATATCTACTAGTTCATATCGACTGATAAAATGTATAAGGACAAACCATATAAAATGTTGATGGACATTAGTATATAAGGGCAAAATGTGCAAAGAACGTACCAAACAAACCATTTATGAAAGCCACTCATCTAAACTTCCTATTATGAAAGCCACTCATCTACTCGATTTACTATTTTATTTGATGGTCCCTTTGTATATTGAAGCAGCCCTACTACATCACCTATCTTTATTGATGAAAGTAGTTCTCAATGCTGCCAAAGAACAATAGGGAAAATGATTCATATAGTCTAATAATTTAATCAATAAACATTGGGACACTCCACCTTCAACTGTGGACTGCATACTATACTTGCTTTATCAAACCGACCCAGTATTTCTCATGGCCTACGGTCCATGCATGGGCTCATTAATGAGTCATCAAAGTCTGGTCGATGAGTTAAGGGGTCGTAATCCCAGTTTGTGGATTACAAGTTCTCTCTTAAAGACATTTCAATATCTCCTAGACCTGATGCGACCACAACTCCTATGGTACATATCTCTCGCACATGCATAAGCTTCACCCTTGAAAGGCGGTTCGCTTTTCTGAAATGGCCATCATTATGCATGTCATGTGATGGTATATGGATGATGCTTTGGCCCTCGTCTCTGAAAGCCACCATCACACACAAGGGTCACACAGTCCCTTGATTCACTCATTCGGATATACTCCAACCTCATCAAGTGATGACCTATTAGAACCCCTTATCAGATAGTTTTATATGACCAGGTAACATAGGTTTTTTCCAACCAATTGGCCAAGCTCAATCTGATATCAGCAACATTATTTGCTTAGTATAGTCCACAAGGGGCCACATTCCTGCTGAGTTCATGTTCCATTATATCAAAATGTGTTATTACAAGCAATCATAAGGCCTTTAATGGTCACACTTATCCAACATATTCTATGTTATCATTTCTTTCCTTGGGAATGATTAGTCCATTTGAATAATGGGGAATGAATTTTTTGCATTTGATGGATTTTCATGATCTTGTCCTCTTTTGGTACACTTTTTGAGTTAGTAATTTATGATATTAGTGCTCTTCTGATGGACCTGCTGTCGTTTTGCATGTCTCAATCATTAGGATTTAAATTGTGGATTTTTGTTTTATCTAACTGAATATGTTTTGGATTGTGTTTAATTATTTATTTAGGGTTTTCTTATTATAAATACACAAACCTTGGAAATATAGATTCTAGAATACATATTGGAATTGGTGGGTATTGGGGTGATAGTTTATGATATTTATGGTTTGTTTGGTATGAACAAGGTTTTAGTTCTTCTTTTTATGTAAAATTGTCTTGTTGACATGTTGTCATGTGGACCCTGTTTTGGTTTGAGATTTTAGCTATGAAGGTTTCTATTGAGAATATAAATTTATTTGAATTATATATATCGATCTAGATGATACTGTATTTGAAATTTTGAATATTTTTGGGAAGTATATTATTTGAGATACATGGATATATGTTTAAAACCTTTGATTGGGTTGATTATGCTTCTAGTGTCATGTTCTATTTTTGTTCGACTTGTCTTGTCAAAATTCACAACAACCGAAAAAATTGAAATCCAATGGACTTCTGGAATTCTTTAATTGCAATTGGGTTTCACCTTAAAAACAAAGGTATCATGCTACGCTTAAGTCTTGACTGTGAATGAGCAGAGGTGAATTTTATTATGTTTGTTTCATGGTATATATTATTTTGGAATGATTATTTGAATTTTTACACACCCCACCCATTTAGGGGGCTTTCTTTTTTGATGAAATAGAGACTTTTGATATGTAGTCAAAGTGTTATGTGTTTTGGAAAGGAATTAACTTGAGGAAGCTTTGAATGAATTTTTTGGAAAGCATGAGAATGCATGTGCATTATTATGGTATGCACAATATTATATTTGAAATTATTTAATTTAATTTCTATTGATGAGAAAATAATTTAGGAAATGGGAATAAGGTTCTAGCACCGTCCATGATGTTGATGGCATATCTATGGAATAGAGGGCTCAAATCTTTTACCTCACAAGTCACCTAAGATCAATAGTTCATGTTCAATCTCACAAAAGTGGTAAGTCATGGAAAACCCTAATCTTATTCTTGCTCTATAAATAGAGCACCTCTATTCATGAAATCTCTACACCAAAATTTGTCTTCTCTCTCTCTCTCTCTCTCTCTCTCGGATGACCTAAGGGGCACGCCCCACCTGGAAGGAGTTCTATCTCTCTCACATCTTGCTTTAAACATAAGGCTGAGTAGTGTTAAGAAGATGTTATCTTAGACTAGGTTTTGAGGGTTTTTTTTTTTAACTTAAGTCTAAGTCTTGTGATCAAGAGGAGTTCATAGTTCAATTGGAGAGCTTGACTTAAATTTGCTTTCACGATTGATATTGAAGGTTGATCGTTAATCCCATGCATAGGATAGTGGTGATTCAGCATTGGGTGTAATAAGCTCGATTGAGATAATCTCTGGAATATCTTTTATTTCTTGTATATTTAACTATATTGTTTTTATATTCCCAATCATATGAAGTAGCAGTTATATTTTTTGTTTAAAGAAAATTGGTTTAGTAGCATCAATGTTTTGAGATCTTTGTGTTATTTTTCTTTGAGGCATGAGTTATTGTAATAAGACTACTTGTAAGTGATCTTTACCAAAATAAAAAAAGGTGAAAAATAAGAAAATAAAAATATATATACCCCGATAAGATCACATTGTTCTTTCTTTTAGAATATGTACAATTGCTTTCAAAGAAGATGGGTTAAACAAAAAGGGATCTGCCAAATTGTGCCATGTTCTCTTTCTGTTTCCAGTTTGCGACAGAGTACCAATGATCTGACCCCAAATAAAGCACTTACTTATCAATCGTTTTATGAAAAGTATAAAGCTTCCAGCCAAAAAAAACTCATCTCAAAACAAGCAAAAACTAGAGCCAATACTGGACTTATAATTCTTATAAAATTGAATGTAGTATAGAAAAGTCCTTCTCTGTTAACTATTGAAAAAAAAAAAAACACATCTATTTAGAAAATATAGAAATAGATCCCATGCTGAAGGCAACCTATCCATACAAAACCCTATTTCCGCTAAAGCCTAGTTTTGTTAACCCAACCCACAGAGGAGAACAACACGGTTTGCACCGTAACTTACCTGGACCAATCTGTGGGTTCTTTCAACTAAAGGCCAATGTTCTCTTTATGTGTCCAGTTTGTGACAGATTACCAGTTATTGACCCCAAATAAAGCACTTACCTATCAATCTTTCTATCGAAAGTATAAAGTTTCCAGCCACAAAACTCAGAAGTATAAAAAGTTTCCAGCCTAAACTACTAACAATCGCCATTGCATCTTGATGTAATCAACAAGAAGATAATCGATTCAAAAAAATTGAAGATAGAAAGTATAGGGAAGAGGGACAAAAAAAAAACATCGGCACAAAAAACATGATCAGAAAGAAGCTCAGAGAGATAAACTAAATTAGATAAAGAGAAAGCATCAAGTAAGGAGAGAGAACAGATGAAAGAGGCAGAGGAGAGAGATCAGAGGGAGATGGGGATGAGAGAGAAGATGAAGGAGAGGGGAGGAAAGGGTAAGAGAAGAAGACGTTACCTGGTTGCAGACACTAGAGAGAAAACAACATTGTTAGGGCTTGTGACCTTGGAAGCAAGGGAGAGGAGCTAGGGTCGAGCTTTGAGATGGGAGAGTCGAAGAAAACATATCGGAAAAAAAAATTCAAAAAAGATCTTAAAACAAAGTTCTTGCCTTGGACATGGAACATGTATCTTCCTTTTTTTTTTCTAAGCTAAAAGCGAAAGGGTTGGGGGAAAAAATTTTCTCATAAGTTTTAGATATCGTAGAATTTCCTATGCGTCAACAAGGGGTTGGGGTCGTGGAGGTAGTACCATTTATGCCCTAGCTAACGTTTAGGCTTCCATTCTTATCTAACACATTAAAAAATCACTAAGTTACCTAAAAAAAGACCACGAGATTGCTAGTTTGCTACACTTACAAGAAATTTCTTTTTTATGGCATAAATATGTTTCCCAAATCAACGCGCCCATAAAATTATTTTTAGAAGACATTTTACCCGAGGGGGTAAGGGGGAAGTATACTCTCGCGGGAGTATAACGATGAAGGTTGTCTCCCGCGCTTAGAACTTTCCAGAACCCTTTTGTGTCTTCTAAACGCTAGAACTTTCATCCGTTCCTCGAACGCTCTACTCCGCTATAAAATCCCTTCTCCCATTCGTTACTGCGAGAATATTTGAGAGCGGAAGCCTGCCTATCTAGGGTTTTGATTTTTCAGCCAAAACAGCCCGATCGGAGTTGAGCAAACCAGAAAACGAGAAGAGAGAGGTGTTGGTCAATGGCCGAGGAGGCAAAAGCAAAGGGAAACTCTGCTTTTTCGGCAGGGAAATTTAATGAGGCAGTGCAGTTCTTCTCTGAAGCGATTGAATTGGCTCCTTTAAACCATGTCCTGTACTCCAATCGCTCTGCTGCTTATGCATCTCTTCATGACTACGAAAGCGCCTTAAAAGATGCAGAGAAAACAGTTGAAATCATGCCCGACTGGTCCAAAGGTTACAGTCGGCTTGGAGCTGCTCATCTTGGCCTCTCGCACTATGAAGGTGCGATTGCTGCTTATAAGAAAGGCCTTGCTCTTGATCCAAATAATGAAGCCCTAAAATCAGGCCTTTCTGATGCTCAGACAGCTCTTCGAAACCCTAATTCTTCTTCTTCTTCTGCACCTTTTGGTAACATATTTCAGGGACCAGGGCTTTGGGCTAAGCTCACTTCTGATCCCACAACTAGAGGCTATCTTCAACAACCAGATTTCTTACGTATGCTCCAAGATGTCCAGAGAAACCCTAATAATATTAACAAGCATTTATCAGACCCTCGAATGATGCAAGTTCTTGGTGTTCTGCTCAATGCCAAGCTGAGGACAGCAACACCAGAGGAGATGGAGAGAGAAGTTCCAATGGATGAGGTCAAGGAAAAAGCTAGTTCTCCTCCAAAGGAGGAGGTCAAGAGAGAGAGAGAAGAGCCAGAGCCTATGGAGATTGTGGAGGAGAGAGAGAAGAAGTTGAGAAAGGACGAGGCTCAAAAGGAGAAGGAGGCTGGGAATGCAGCGTACAAGAAGAAGGATTTCGAGACTGCAATCAAGCATTACACGAAGGCCATGGAGATTGATGACGAGGACATATCCTATCTCACCAATAAAGCGGCTGTGTACCTAGAGATGGGAAAGGTATGGTAACATACGCTTGAAGATTAGTTTGAAGTTCCACGTCTCAGAGAGCGAGAGCATGTGTTTAAATCAAAGACTATTGTTTTTAGATAGTTATTAACTATTTCCTATTTTTTAATAAATAGTTAGGGACCCTTTTCTTGTATGTTTCCTAATGTGTTTTTTCCTTTGGATATAATCTCCGTTGTGTTTTTCCAATTAGGTCACATCTTTATGAATTGCATATGTTACGCTATTCATAATTTATTGTGTGTTTTAGTACTACTTATGTCTTAGTTCTTGTACAAATATGTAATATGTAGTTTGTTGGAGTTGGAGCTACCTCAACAGTTAGGGTATTTGCATTGCATATTGTGAATTGTGATCCATTGGACACACTTGTGCCTTGATACATGTTAAATTGTATGAATACATTTACTATTTCACTGATTATGCGGACGTGTTTTGCATTTTGTGAACTGTGACCCAATGCATGCATGTTTCTCTTGATTTTATGTTAAATTGCATAATACCTCTTTTGAGATCTTGATACTGTACATTTTAAGGATGTGGGAATTTTATGCAATTGTATGGCTTTATGTTGTTTCATTGATTCATGGTCATTTGTTCTTATTCATTATTTGATGTCAGTATGAAGAGTGTATCAAGGACTGTGACAAGGCTGTTGAGAGGGCAAGAGAGCTTCGCTCTGATTATAAGATAATCGCTAGGGCATTGACTAGAAAAGGGAGTGCCCTTGTCAAGCTTGCCAAGTGCTCTAAGGACTATGAGCCAGCTATTGAGGCTTTTCAAAAAGCCCTTACAGAGCACCGCAATCCGGATACATTGAAAAAGCTTAATGAAGCAGAGAAAGCAAAGAAGGATTTAGAGCAACAGGAATATTATGATCCAAACATAGCAGATGAAGAGCGTGAGAAAGGTACTCATTTTCACTGTTTCCCTTTTCCCTTACTATAATGATGCTTTTAGGAAGTTGTTCAATATTTTTATTTTTCTTTAGGTACTGGGAATGTTAATTGGATCATCGAAGAGTGCAAATGCATTTTTATGCTTGTTCTTGTTTTTTTTTTTTTTTCGTTCCTTTTTGAGTATCGGTTTAGTCTTATGTAGCTGGTTTTAATTATGGAATCTCTATGCAAATAACTAGGAAATACATCTTGAATTGTTTACTGTTGTCCACTTAGGAAGTTCTACAGTTCAAATTTAATGATCATGATTAATATCTTGCTTCTCGTCGTTTTCCTTGTTTGGGTTTGATTCTTGTTTTCAAATGTTGAAACCCTTTAGTAGAATGGATCTCGATGTTGTGAGGACATTGGTTGAAGAATCATTAAATTAGCTCTTTTTAGTCATTCATGTCGTCATTCGTGGATTGCAATGATGCAATAATTGATTACATAGATGATGTATTGTGAAGATTGATATTTCCTAGAGAATCTAGAATTTTGTTTTTACATGAAATATTACTAAATGTTTTTTAAGTGATGATGGGTTATGTAAAATTCCAATTCACACAATCCATGAATCATGGCAAGCTACCGTTGCTCAATCCCTGATTCATGGCAAGCTACCATTGCTCATTGGATGTTGCCTCATGGGCGGATTGCAGTATTTGACGTTAGTAATATGGAAGATGTATTGTGAAGAAAAACTTTGTGATTTAGTAAAGATTCTCAGACCCAGTATAAGATGCAAGTTAAGTGGTTGTAATTGAGAATTGTTGACCTATGTAATTTTTGTGTACATGACTTGCTACTATGTTTGAGCTACAGTGAATGCTAGAGGTTTCTATGCTAATTTTCATGGCCTACCTAATGATCATCTATTAAAAGTCTTTTTGACTTGACTGTTTAATTATGCAAACGGTTCTTTGTAAGTGACTTTATGAAGCGTTCTGTTGTTTTGGAAGCATTATGGGAATATTAAAGTTGAGCGTGTTTAGCACATGAAGCACATATAGAAGTACAAGATGTTGAAAGCTTATGAAAGAGTTGATTGTCTAATCGCATTTTTAGAAAATGCATCTTTGGAGAGTATCATATTCCTCAAGCTCTCATATATGTGAACTGGCTCGATATTTCTTAATCAATACATGGATTAGGCAATGTGTCGATGATTAAACATCTGCTGATGAGCACTTTACATTAGTTAGCTTTGGACATCACCATAGTATTATTTTGGCACCATTCCTACAGATCTATAAAAATACAATATTAGGGCTTCTTACAGTTAGTTTTGTGGGTTTTATAGAAGATTACAGCCACTTGGTGTACATGAAGCAATGACAAGGATAGACTTGAAAGACAATGATTAATCATGTTGGTTTATGTGTGTTTTCATATGCTTCCATATTGTTTCTATGTGTTTAAATTGATTTTCTTATGGGAATAACATTTGATTTTTGTCGGTGCCATAGTTGTTGGAAATGCATGGGAACTCGAATCGTTTTAGGAGCCAAAATCGTGGTTGGCTAAAAGATTCCTTTCTTAGGGATTGTTGTCTGTACAATAAGAATCGTTGGGAACGAGATTCCTAGTTTTTAAGAATCGTGTTTCGATAAAAATAGATCTAAGTTTCATACACATGGAATTGAGATTTTGTCCTCCTTGGAATTGAGATTCCCATCCCCTTGGAAGCGACACTCCAGTAGTCAAGATTCATCAATATGCGGAATCGAGTTTCTGACATCTATGGAATCGAGTTTCTGACATATGTGGAACAAAGATATATTGCTGTTTTGAATTGTGATTCGAACATATTTGGAATCAAGTTTCTGAAGTATATGGATCAAAGATCCATGTCACTTTGAAATCGAGATTTACAATAATATGGACTATGGGATGCGTTTGATGGCCCCTCCTAGGAATCAAGATTTCATTTTATGAAGAGGAAGCCCCAAGCACATCTTGAGCCTTATCAACTTTAGAACCTATATTGGATGTCTTTTATTAGAAGGTTCCCCAAATTCTAAAGTGATTGTCTTGACTATGGAACTTACGGTCATTATATACAAAAGATAAGTATTTCTAAATTGTGATTTTGACTTCATTATTATAAAGGCAAAATAAGATTATGTCTATGCCATGGTTTTAGTTTTAATTGTATGTGTTACATTTACCAGTTATATTTTAAATTTAAAGTAAAAGCTGTCTAGGGTGGCACAAGTAAAATAATGAAACACTGCAACCGTTAGAAGTATTCGATGGAAGATTTCTACTCCAATTTCCTTTAGGAAGTGCACAACCATCACAAACATTGGACATTATGTACTTTGTATTGGTTTTTTTTTTTTTTAATACTGGTTAATTTATTTAGATTTGAATCAAGATTTAATCCTCGTTGGAATTCAAATTCGATATATTTGGGAACGTCTCCCCACAATTAATGGGTTCAAGTTTCTTAAGATGTGTTAGATCGAGATTCTGAAATTAAGGTATCAAGTTTCCTTGGTTCCGATAAATGGTTTGTAAATATGTGTTGAATAAAGGTTCCAGAATTAAGAAATGGAGTTTCCTTAGTTTCGAAAAATGGTTTCTAAAGATGTGCTGAATCGAGATTCCGAAATTAAGGAATCGAGTTTCCTTGGATCCGAAAAATGGTTTCCGTGGAGATTCCTCAACATAAATGTCGAATCGGGTTTTGTAACTGGAATCGTGAGGTCGGTAGAGAGATTCCGGTAACTATGGTTGGTACTTCTACAAAATATTGAGCAAAGTTGCAATTATGGCATGATTGAAAAGTAACTATGGTCATTACTAGCATGGCTCGATGCTTGAGCTATTTAATTATGGATGATGTTTTTTGTTTTGGAATTCTTGTTCCATATGAACATTGTTTGGATTCATTAAAACCTGATTATGTTTGGACTCACATTGGTATTTTTATGTTCCTTTGAGACATTGATCTGATTCATTTGTATTATGATTGAAGGTTGAAAACTGGGTAAGCTGTATGCATCGTGATCCTTGGTTTTATTGATGATTGTAAACTATGTCCTAGTGAGTTTTAAATCATGTAGGATAACATATTGAGCAAAGTTGTTCGACTTCTATCAAATAAAGGCTCTTATTAGATACAATATTGTATACTGAATGGTTTATATTTCAACCTTCACATGCATAGGAAATAACAAAAATAGAAGTACAAAAGCAGCTCTTCCTCTTTTGTGCGATCTTTATGTGGGGAGAGTTTTCTCAAAAAGAGAAAGGAGGTTAGAGGCTGTTTTTTCTCAACATTGTTTCAAATATCTTGTAGTTTCAGGGAAGTCCGGATTGAGATCGATTTTCTAAATCGACATGGCTCTTTTTGGATCTAATTGTCATCCTTGTGGGTTACATTCAAGTCAGGTCCAGGGTGCCTATGAGTTGGTCAATGGAGTAGAAGTATGTTGGACCTTATGTTTAAAGAAGAAATTTTTCTCTCTCGAAAACTTACAAAGATTGTTGATATTGATATCTTTGAGAATATGCCCGAATTGAGCTCCAATTGGCAATGGCCTCAAGAGAAATTGCACCAAAGAGGTTTAGAACTTCGTTTCCAAGAGTTCTTATGATCTATAGGTATGATTATTCGGATGCCTATTATAGAAAAAATTTGGATACATTTTTTTTAACTAGAACATTTTAGCAAAAAATGGATGTAACAAAGGAAGATATTGGGCATCACTGCGATATGGCTGTTTAGATTGAGGTAAATTTGGCGTTGGTACTGTAACACATTGTGGTTGTGTGTGGCTGTCCATGTGTATAAGCTTGAGAAATGAAAGTTTATGGATTCGTTCTCCACCTGTCATTGGAGCTACAAGTTTTTTGAGGTTGTTGCCATGTATTTTGGTTGGGAAGGGCTCAACCTTTGTAGGTTAGATATGTGTGGTTTGATTTCACAATGAGGATGAGTAGCATGCTGTCGGACCCAAGGTTTGGGGCATCTATTGAAACAAGAGGTGCTCAAGGATTTGAGATCCCTATCTGTTAACTATTCTCCATTTCATAGTTTAAAATGCATCCACATAATGCATTATGTGGCTGCATAAGCAGAAAAAGTGATGTGCGTGCATATGCAGTGCATCACCTGCATGTGGGGCTGCATTGACCACTTCGATCCGAACGATGCTCCTGCATATGCACTCTCGGCTCATGGGCAGAAAAAATCCCCCTTCTCAACCTACAACCCCCCCAAAAGAAAAACACCAACTAAAGGAAATGAACACTTTAGAACCATTTTTACATGGTTCTAAGGTCATTAAACCGGTACTACCAAGATATGCTAAACCATGCCACAAGCAATGGATGAGATTGGAAGAGAGATTAGGGCATACAAAACGATAGCCAAGAAAGAAGAAAATGAGGAAAAAAAAAGAATTGATAAAAAATTTAAGTATTTGATGGCCTGTGTAATTGAGAGTTGATTATCGTTGTGCCCGGGCGAGTTATGCTCAAATAGGAGAAGTGCCTGCTGGAAGGATTCTTGATCCTATGCCAAAGATAGCCGGAAGCGCACGAGTATGTTACCATGGGTTGGGGTTGGATTTGGAATTTGAGAATGCTGAAGTGAGAGAAGTCTTGGCCTCGTATGATGCAGTGACTAGAACAGCCACTGTCAGAAATTGATAAGTTAAAGTATCCGAGGCATCAGTCGCAGAAGCTATTGGGTTAAGCAGGGTCTACGTTAAGACGTTGGAAGGACGACCTGGGCGTACATATGCCTTTTACTCATAAACTTTTGGTCTTTGTCTCTTTGGAGTTTAAATTTCGAATTTTGGATCTTGGGATATTTTATAATTAGATGGAATAGATTTTGTGCTTTGTTTTACATGGTATATGTACCATTAAAGATATAGAAGTTAGAATGACAAATATTGAATAAATTGGAGTACCTACTGTCATATAAATCACATTTATGTTGTCTTCTATGCATATTATAGTTGTTAGTTGTTTTTTTTTTTTTTTTTTAATTTTTAAAATTTATGGACCACATTAGAGGTGATGAGACCAAATCAGGACTGCGTCAGCACACAGTGTCGAGCACACTGCCCGAATCATCCTTTCAAATTTTCTTTTTGATAAGGAGAAGTTGCGCTCCAGTTCTCCTTAAGTTGCCACTCTATGCCTATATTGTTGGAGCCAAAGATTGAAAGTGGTTTGTCGGGCATTTAATTGTCCCTTTGTGTGTCAATTGTTGTTTGATGACTTGATGTCTTGTATGCTAAACATGGCACCATTGGTTCCTGTTTTCACATTTTATATGGTGTAGACCAAAGAAAAGGAAAGAAAAGGACATTTCATGGAAAGAATGGTTATTCTATAGGGCATATTTCCAACCTGTTATTCAATATGAAGGTGTAACTTATAAATGTGTGTCAGGAAGTGAGGAAAATGGACATGTGAAAGTAATAGTGGCCTCGGTTTGTGCATAAGATGACCATTATATAATAGTCTCACATATATGTTATCAGATATTGGTTTACATTAATGGAATTGTCCTTAACACTGAAAACAAGAAAGATAGTGGCTCTTAATTTTGGAACATCAGAAACAAGACAACAATGGCTATAATTTTGTTCAAAGATGCTCATTTTTTTCAAAATAGAATTACTATTTTTAAACATTTCCCTGTGACTTCTTTTAATTTGAGTAATGTGTTTTTTCCATTATTCTCCGCTCTTTCCCACTTTGTGCCTCTTTTATTATTGCTTAGACGTCTTTAGAACAGCCATAACCTTTGTAATACTGAAACATTCAGGCCTGACATATATTGGCGTACCAATTTTTTGGACTTGGTAAAGACTGTGTTATGCTGTGGTGTGTTGTGCGTTTAAAGTTATAGAGGACCTGCTTTTGTATCACTGCTAGGAGCATGGGTGCATGGAATTTTAAATAACAATTTTGTCTAGGGTTTGGCATCCTTTGTAGGAGGTAGATTCCTGAATGAGAATCAACTTCTAGGTTTTGGAACAATTTGATGCTACCAGTAGGGTACTAAAATATGCATCAAATAATTAAGTTGAATAATGTATTATTTTGAGGCTGTTTCTCTTGGTGGAAAATGTCAGTTCTTCTATGGTACCTTGTGGAGGTTGAATGTGTGAAATTCTTGTTTCTCTTAACATCAATAACGGGGAAACAAATTGTAAATTATTGACTGCATTTTTATATGCATTTGCTTATTGTAATTGTTGGCTAGCACTTACTGGCAAAGGACTGGGCACCTCATTCAGTTTTGGTCAGCTTTCAACAGTTTATGATTTCATGGAGACTGCTGTCCTTGTGCTGTTGTTTTAGTGATTTAAAACTCAGTTACTTTGGCCGGAACTTGCCAGTCGCTCAGACACAGCAGGGTGCTGGTCCTGTTGAAAAACCTCATGCACTGTCAGAGTCCAACGGGTTCTCAAGGTTATTATATAGACTTGACTCAGCCAACTCAGACTGGGTGACTTGGGCTTGGGCTCTGCCTGGTTCTGAGGCTTAGTTATTTAATCACTGGTTATTACATTAACAAGATGGTGCTTCTAGTTTCCTGAGTAAATATTATTAATAGAAAAGTACTCTCCCTGTCTTGAACCTCACAGGCAGAGGTCCTCTTGCCTTTCCTTGGGATTTGCTTTTTCAGTTATGATTGTAGTGACGCTCTTTTGCTGTTAGCTTATGGTTTCTCAGTATTTGTTTTTATCAAATTTTATTTGTGTACCCACTATGTAGATCTCCCTTTCTATGATTCTAATTTATGTATCTATGTAGGTAACGAGCTCTTCAAGGAGCAAAAATACCCAGAAGCTGTGAAACATTACACCGAAGCCTTGAGGAGGAACCCTTGTGATCCCAAGGCAAGACAAATATGGAACTTCCAGTTGTTTTTATTTTTCTATTTGCTCTCATTAGGTTTTATCATTATTAATTATGAATGGGAGATTTAAAACAAAGACACTTCTTTTGGTTTATAGGTTTACAGTAACAGAGCTGCATGTTATACAAAGCTCGGTGCATTGCCTGAAGGGCTGAAGGATGCAGAGAAGTGCATCGAACTCGACCCATCATTTCCAAAGGGATATTCAAGGAAAGGTGCAATCCAGTTCTTCATGAAGGAATACGACAAAGCATTGGAGACATATCAAGAAGGGCTTAAACATGACCCCAACAACCAGGAGTTGATGGAAGGGGTGCAAAGGTAAATGCATGTTGCATCCTCTCATTGTCATTAACGGTTTATTTATTTATTTATTTCCTTTTTCTATCCTTGCTAAGGGATATAGCATACAAGTGTATGGTATATGCATACACAGCTGAGTAATTCTTCATCCATTGTCGATGATAGATGGTTAATATTCATCATGTGTATTGAGAACAGATGGTGGATGCCCCAATTGTGTGTCACACACCATTATTGGACTAGTTCAGTTATGTTTTCCTGTCCTAAATATGTATATGCGATTGATGTTATGTTCAAATGTGTGACAGGTGTGTTGAACAAATCAACAAGGCCAGCAGGGGTGAACTAAGTCCAGAAGAGCTTAAAGAGAGACAGGTATGGTTCACTATCCTGAGATTTGTTCGACATCTTAGAATCTTTTTAACACAACATCTTAGTTATCATGCCTGCTTTGTATTTTGTTATGTTTATGATCTTGTATTTTCAACTGTCCACAGGCAAAGGCTATGCAAGACCCAGAAATACAGAATATTCTCTCAGATCCTGTCATGAGACAGGTATGTTCTTGCATATTTATGGTGGTTGATGCACATTTTGCATACTAGCCCCATTCTCTCTCTATGCCTAATGCTGAGGTAATGGAGAGAGAGGTGATATGTTTTATTTAGTTTCTAGTTTCTAATAAGGTTTGCTTGAGAGAGAATGGGGCAAATAATTATGGAGTAGATAAGATATTGGGAATGTAAATATTGGTAAGGTAGGCTTATTAAGGAAGGTAAAAACTATAACAAACAGTGTTGCTCCTTTGTCACGTTAGCCTCATCTATAAATAAGTCAGGCTTAATCTGATTCTAAAATTTCTAAAAGAAGTCTAGGTTTAAAATTTCCATGAAAAGAAGGATAGGTTTAGAAGTTTCCCAAAATGCACTTTTAAATTTGATGAAAATTACAATGGTTAACCTTTTAAAGATGTCAATAAGAGCTTTTATTGTGATAAGAATAAGTGCATTTGTGTAGAAATATGGCGTGGGTAAAACTGAAAATTTGCTGGATAGTTAATGCCAACCTAAATCCTACACATGAAAACCCAGCCAAACTTAGTAAGGATTTTATTAGTGTACTGAGTTCCTATATTTCTAAAGTGGTCTTAGTTTTGGGGAGTGACTTTGGCTTTTTAGAATGTTTATTACATCGATTCTTATGCGGAACATCTATCCTAGCTGCACAGAGGTTGCTGTTTCTCTCTTTTTGCTCTATTTTGGCATGTGATTTCTCTTATCTCGGTTGTGACAATAATGTTAAATTGGATTTTACTGCCTTGGTGATGATAAATAAATATTCCTGGAAGCTAGGGATGAATAATGGTTTAGGGAATCCAAAATTTGTTGATTGTGAAATTAAGTGGATGGTGGTTGCTGTTTCCAGGTACTGATTGACTTCCAAGAGAACCCTAAGGCAGCACAAGAACATCTGAAGAACCCTCAAGTGATGCACAAGATCCAGAAGCTTGTCACTGCAGGCATTGTTCAGATCAGATAAGCGAGGTAGAGGTGAGGAAGAAAACAAAAAGACAAGGGATTGTTATTGGTAAATTTAATGGAAATTTGCTTGCCCCTGTAATTTTGGTGGATGGTTAAGTTATGGAAACTGGCTCCATTGGAAGATTTTGTTGGAACTTTTTTTTGTGGTGTCCCATGAAAATCTTGATTGGTTTGTGCATTCTGTCCTTCAATAATTACTCTCTTATTTGTCGCGAAAAAGGTTTGGGAGAAAGTTGATTTTCTTTGGATCTTCAAGTTTGGGAGAACATTGATTTTCTTTGGATCTTCACCTGTACATTGGACAGATAGATTCTATAGTATAGAACCTGAGAAAGACCAGCTGATCCCATCAGACCATTGGAGATGCCTTCTGCATTATTGCATAGTTGCAGATGTGATTTCGGTTCCTATGAGTCCATGGACTCATATGTAGAAATGCAGACGCCTTAATAATTTATTTTTGAAATAAAATTTAATCCTAATTTTTAGAGAATATATAATCTTTTACATGTAGGTTATTAATATGTAAAAATAAATAAAATTTAGTACTATAAATGATATTTTTTTTTCTTGGAGAAATATTTGAACTGTTGATTTTACTCCTTTGGAAGACTATTATTTATAGTATAGATCTACGCTTTTTTTGGTGGATGGTGTAGATCTTCAAGCCCGCATGGTAACAGGTGCGGACGGACCAAACTTTTCTCCTTCAATGGATGTGTTACTTTTAGTTCTAGAGGAGAGGAGGCATTTTCCTAGTTTGGTTGTTGAGCTATTTCATGGTTAGCATTAAATGCGTGGAGCGGAGTTCCCGCTCTGGGGTTAAGAAAATATATGATAAAAGAAAAAATATCTCCGTATGGCATGAAATTGTATGCAATCTTATCCTATTAGAAATGGGATTATATATAAAGAGATCATTTATCTTTAATGATTTATGATATTACAAATATCAAGAAAGTTTTTTTTTGAAGTCATTGGTCAATGGAATAATTTTAGTTATTCAAGTTTAATATGGTCAAAATTAATGTTTCGGAAGATAAATGGTTTCATTATATATTTTTCCATTAGAAATGTTTCATTCTATACTTTTTCATTAGAAATATCTTGTGGCATAAATTTATCTCAAAAAGTTTCATTAAATCCTTGGGGCCCTTTGACTTACTTTTTTTTGGCTTTAAGAACGTATATAGTATTTGTTGGTATGTGGAGGTCGTTATGGGGCTTCATAGGGTTTCATGTGTTATATTTTTTATTATGGGGTCTCATATATGTCTTATTTTTTTCATTAATGTTTATCTTAAAATTATAAGATATTTTTAGTGTTTATCACTAAAATGATTTTTTAGAGAGAAGATAGTTTTTTTTTCTAAGAGATAGAAAATAACTACCCATTTCTTATCAAAAAATGTCGAGATTTCAAGAAAGTTTTTTTCAAGAGAGAAAATAACTACCCATCTATAAAAAAATGTCTAGAGATTTCACGAAAGTTTTTTTTCCAACTTCTTCTCATCTTATAAGTTAGGATTGTTGGAGAATAATTTCTTCACATCTCTCTAAGTTGAGTTTCATGGCTATGAAGATACACAGTAAAACATTAAGTCAGGGTTTTAATAGTTGATTGGAGACTTCTTATAAATATCGGCAAACCAGGCCATTTCTGTGTGCATTTGTTACCATCGGTTACAGTCAACAAATTAGGTATAATCTATCTCTTGTGGTACGTTTTCCTTGGGTTCACAATTAACTTTTCTCTCTCTCTCTCTCTCTACTTTTTTTGTTTTTTAATCCTGTTTTCCCTTATTTTTAAACGACTTAGAGGGTCACATGGTGCTATGTGGGTTTGCTATTGGGTAAGAGATCTTGCATCGTTTTGTTTTCCCTCTTGCATCTTTTTATTGTTAATGTGGGTCTCTCTCTTCTTTCAAGGAAAATTTTTTAGGTGACAAGTAGGTCTGTGGCTTTGCAATAGAAACCAGGGTTTTTTTTTTTTTACTACTGTAATTTTAGAGAGAGAGTGCTATTGTTGAAATTTTAGAGAGAGAGACAATGCACTGATATTCAATGCCTAAACGAATTGAAAAATCAATCTTTAAAGATAGAATAAAACACTTATTTTTGCGTGCTCAAACTTTGAAGAGAATGATAAAAGACTTGTTCTTCACTGCTGATAAAAAGACTTGTTCTTCACTGCTGATAATAGTAGTGCTGCTCCTCTTTCTTTCATCTTTGGCTGCTGAAATTGGAGCACATCTTTTAAGGAATATTGAAAGGTATTGTATACAATGAGGCCATTTACCTTTGGTATAGAGAAGTCATAATTACTTAGAGTCATTTGATGTGAAATCTGATAGTTTGGGTATGTCATAAAGTTTGAGAAAATTTCTTTCGACCACCTTATACAAGAGGTAAATGCTCTCATCATATACTTTCCCATATTGAAAACTGTCATGTACACATCAACTGTTTGAGTGACGGTTTACATAACAATTGCATGCATTTTTGTGGTTTATAATTTAGGGATTTTCTACCTATTCTATTTCCATCATAATTTTCATTGCCTTGCATAATTATTCTATCATTTGGTTTTTTTAAGTAAGAAAATTTTATGATCTTGATTTTGCGAACTTTTTTTTTTTTTACATGATTATGTTATGCCATGTTTTTTTGTTGAAAATATCAAATATCATTGTAGACTTTCCCTAGAGCTAAAACAAATTCATATACGAAAAAAGTTTATGTAGAGCTGAGGCTCTAAATAATCAAATTAAAGCCCACCTAACATTTTCATTAGAAGTGGTTGGTTTGGTACCCAAATATCTTGAAATTGACCATCTCGACATCAACATATATGGACATGAGAAAAAGATTGGATTTCAAGTTTTAAAAATAGTGCATATTGTAACACATTTTTGGACTGTCAAATTTCAAGAGTTTCAAGTTTTCATAGATCTGATCGATCTACACTATTTTTGAAGCTTTAAATTTTATAATTAAATATAAAAATATAATTTAAGGCTATCACAAAGATTTCCAATAGTGAAACCACATTTCTCGACACTATTTGAAGGTGGGCTCTTATTGGATTGTTTAGAGCCTCGGCTCTATACAACCTTCACCCTTCGTATATTTATGAAAATTAGTCTTGTGCAAAAATTGCATGAAGTTGTTTATTGCCTTTTCCTCTTCTTTTTTTTTTTGTTTCTTGCATCACAACAATGTGGACATAAAATTGTTCGAGACTATTCTTCATTGAAGTTACTGCCTATATAGAGTCGACAACTTTTATATTTGACTAGCAGCCAACCTATTCTAAAACAACTAAATTTTTTAACTCAATTTGCCTATATTTTATACCTTTATAATTTTAGACAAAATTTAAAACTTAAAATGGCATATAAGCTAGTGATGGCAGAACTATAAAAATTTGAAAAACTCAACGGAACTAATTTTCTATGTGGAAAAGAAAAATTGGGTGCATTATCTTCCAAGATAGTGTGGACAATGTTCTAAATACAAAACCACCAATTTTGGAGCCTAATGCCAATGATCAAGCCAGAAAAGGACTTGACAAATGGTTAGAAGATGAAAAAGCAGCTAGGAACACTATGTTGAGTTTTATGGATGACGACTTAATTAGAGTCTTTAAGTACCACACTACAATTCAAAGTATGATGGGTGCCCTATCTAAAAAGTATGGAACCACTTCTGAGATCCATGTGTAATTACTATTAAAAAAATATAAATCACGCAGAAAGAAGAAATCAGACTCAGTGATCGAACGTGTCAACAAAATGAAAATACTTGTAAAGGACCTTATTGAGGTTGGGAATACAGTCCATGATCACATGCAAGTGTCCATTGTCCTTAATTGTCTCCCTCCATCTTGGGAGCCCGTTGTAATTGCATTGAATGACTCTACACAAGGGATAACTATGTTGAATATTCCCATGCACATTAGAATTGAATCTGAGAGAAGAATAAAAAAGAAGTCAATTGAGTTCCATTTTGCTCAAAGTTCATTGTCTCAATTTTCCAAAAAACCTTACAACAATCATAACAATAATATGTTTACGGGATAAGGGAAAATGTTTACAAATCCAAAGTATAAGACTAACAAGACATGCCTTTATTGTAAAGAAATTAGACACATCAAGTTTAATTGTCCTAAGCGGAAACATAAAAATAAGAGCAAGAATAACAACAATACTTGGAATAATAATAGTTTTCAAAATAAAAGAAAGGACTTGATTTGCGTAGTCTTAGAATCAATAGTTGCCGATCATGACCTAAGGAATTGGTGGGTCAACTCCGCTTCAACTCGACATGTCTCAAGAACCAAGGACAGATTCACAAAGTTGAAAGAGATCACAGCTAGTAACCAGCGAATGTTTATACTTTCGATGTCGATATAGTGTCGATACTTTTAAGCTATGTTTATCAAGAGGAACGAATATCCTATTGATTAATAGTTTGTATGCGCCCAATATGAGGCACAATTTGATTTGTGTTTCTAGGCTAGACGACAAAGGTTATGAAAGAAGGTTTAGGTCTGGTCAGGTCACAATTGGAAATTATTCTAGAGCATTGGTGTATGGTACTAAAGTTGGCAATTTACACCGATTGAACATTAATGAAAATTCATCTTATTATAGGTATATTGATGCTTCTTTTGATTCTTATGTGTGTGTGGATGATTCATATTTATGACACTTAAGCTTAAGGTATATAAATAAAGAAAAATTAATCAAATGGTTAAAAGAGGCTTGCTACCAAACATAAGAGATATTGTGTTCAAAACATGCGAGCCATGTATTTCTGGTAAACTAACTGAGAAACATTTTTCTAAAGGAAAAAGGTCTAGTGAACTACTTAGTAGTGTTTACTCAAATATATGTGTTCCATTAAATGTAAAAACACATAGATGTATGAAATATTTCATAACATTTATAGATGTTTATTCTCATTATGGATATGTATACATAATTGATAGAAAGTCATATGCATTAGAAACATTTAAAAAATATAAAGCCTTGGTATACATATTAAAATTATTCAAATAAATAAGGGAGGTGAATATTGCTCAATCTTATTTATCAAATTTTATAAGGAGCATGGAATAATTCACCAAACCACAATTCTCATATATACCACAACAAAATGGTGTAAATGAAAGAAGAAGTAAAACTCTAATGGATATGATTAGGTTTGTGATGAGT